GAGCCGAAGAGCCAGCACTGTCTGAAGACGTTTCCATGGTCATGTGGCCGGCATGACTAAACACCAAGGCACACGGAACGCTGTGACCTTCCCACCCAAGTGGTACCTATTTATCTACTTGCAATTTCTTACTTTCGAACTGCTAGGTTGGCAGGATCTGGAACTAGAGACGGGAGCTCACTCCGTCATGCGGCAACTTGGGTCTTGAACTGCTGAACTACTGACCTTCCACAGCCTGCAGTTCAGTGTCTTAACCACTTAACCACTTGAGCCACCGCAGCACTTGAGCATCCGCAGCAGCAAAAACAAGGGAATAGCTCTACCATAGTGCTGTTTCAGCAGGAGAAAAACATTTGGGGAAAAAGGCAGGAGCTCCTCCTCCCCCTGCGAGAGTGTGACAAGAATGTTTGGGCTCTCCTTTATTTTTTAAAAAGCCATTCCCGCAGCTACTGTATGGCTGTGGAGAACCCAAGTTGGGTCCCATCCTGAGTTTGTAGTTTGGCCCTCAGAGCCATGATTTCTACAGTGTACAAATTCAAATGCATGTACTAATCTGTTTGCCTGCCTTGACATGGTCAGCTATAGTTGGGTATCAGAAATGTGTAAACCAGGAATTTCAAACATAAGTTCCAGGGGCCGGATGTGGCCCATCCAGGGCTCTTAGGCGGCCCATGAGCAACTAGTGCAAGGGAGGGAACAGGAGACTGCTTGGGAGGGGAGTGGGCAGAGCCACTTCGATTGTGGCTTCCGCATGGCGGAACAAACCTATGTGCAGCAGTCAAGCAGCATGGGAGCATCTGTCCAGGGCTCCACCGCTGGCTCTCCAGTCTGCCCATTTGGGTTTTCCTTTACACCCCCTCCCAGTCTATGGGGCCTTGCAGTGAGGATACAACAACTTGGAGCGACGAGCTGCTGTCCTTTATACAGTTTATAGCTCTGGTACTGGGCTGCGGTGGCTCAAGTGGTTAAGACGCTGAACTGCAGGCTGTGGAAGGTCAGTAGTTCAGCGGTTCAAGACCCGGGTGCCGCAAGACAGGGTGAGCTCCTGTCTCTAGTTCCAGCTCCTGCCAACCTAGCAGTTCGAAAGCAAGACATTGCAAGTAGATAAATAGGGACGACTTCGGTGGGAAGGTAACAGTGTTCCGTGCGCCTTGGTGTTTAGTCATGCCGGCCACATGACCACGGAAACGTCTTCGGACAGCGCTGGCTCTTCAGCTTTGAAACGGAGATGAGCCCCGCAACCCTAGAGTCGGATTCGACTGGCTTTCGAGCAAGGGAACCTTTACCTTACTGGGCATTACATTTTATGGCACGCATGGCTGGCCCAACATAGTGACATTTATGTCAGATCCAGCCCTCGTAACAAATGAGTTTGACGCCTCAGGTGTAAACATTCATTTAACTGTTTTTTCTTTTATTTTTTTATTTCATAGCTGCCCTTCAGAAGAAACCCTCTGCCCAGGGCAACATGCAAGTTATGACCAAAATACTAGACGTCATTGCACTGCCGACATCAATGCAGGAGGGGGCTATTCGGGGGTGGGTAGGCTTGCCAAGCCCCCACCGGGGATGGGGAACCCCCGCCAAAACGGCCCCCAATCCGCCAGCAGGGATTGGGCCGCCGGGGGGAACCCCACCCCTGAAACAACCCAATCAGGCCCACGCCCTCAGTGTGATGACGCCACCCGTAAGTGACGTCATCATGCTGGGGGCGTCACTGGGCGACGCTCTAGCAGTCGCCCCAAAAAACTCTATGGTATCATGTCCAAAAAACTCTATGGTACAAATGTCCCAGGAGGGGATGAGGACTCCCCCGCCGCACGAGGTAAGTGACTTGGCAACCCTAGCGGTGGGGCTAGTTGGTGGCGGATTGGAGTACCCCTGTCCCAACCAGGGGTCTGGCAGCCCTAGCCGACCCTGCTTAACTTCCGAGATCTGACAAGATTGGGCTAGCCTGAGCTATCCAGATCAGGCGCATTGGTGCAACAGCAGCAAACCTGTCCCTGCCCCCCTCCCCGTTCCTCCAAGGAGATTGGGGATGTAGCTAGCGACCCTAAAAGGTCTCAGGTGGTCAGACATTATTCACTTTAACCAGGGGTCATTTCATAGAAAAAGAGCTAGGGGAACTCATTAGCATAACTCATTAGCATATGCCACACCCCCTGACATCAGGCGCCCGGCGGTGGACCTGCAAGGCCGGCGGGAGTGCGAGGAAGCCCCACCAAGGCCCTCCCTGGCTCCAGGCAGGCAGGGGTGGGGAGAGGCGGGGAGGAAGCAACTTACCCTCCCTCTTCTCCTGCCTCCTCCTGGCTGAATGAGGGTCGGAAGCGGGGCGGCTGGAAGCAGGGGGCGGGGCTTCGTCATGTGCCCCGCCCCCCACACCTCACCCGGGGGAACTGTGTTCCCCCGCGATCCCCCCCGAAATGACCTCTGACTTTAACTGTAGATGCTGTCAACTGAACCTAAGACTTCCTGCACGTGAAGCAGATACTCTGCCACAGAGCCACAGGCCCTTCTCCTGTACACTTGGATTTTTTTACACAGCTTTTGGGCATCAGAGGAACTCCTCCATTTCCTTGTCTTTTATACAGCTGCAAAGAAAGTCTTAGGTGAGCCTTTCTAGGGAGAGAGTTTCAGAGGGTGGGTGTTATAACAAAGGACTGGTTTCAATAGTATTCAGTCCTACAGACAGTGAGAACATGCCTTGCTTCTCTATGCACACTATGCACCAAGCCAGGAGTCCCCACCCTGCAGGAACCTTAGGAATTCTGACACATGTGGTGGGTACAGCCACAAAATAGCTACTGCAGGAGACAAGAGCCTGCTACAAAATGCCTGACGCTACATCAGTCACACAATAGCCCTTTCTGCACCTGTCTTTTTCCTCAGTTTCTGAGCACATCTCAGTGTCCTGTTCTGCATCCCTCCTACTCTCACTGCTGCTTTGTGTCGGGGCTTCTTGGTTCTGCATTTATTTTAGGGGGATCAGCGTTCAGACCGTTTCCAGCACACTGTTGCCCCACACTTCCCAAAAGTGCTTTTGCCACCAACCTTTGTCCTGCTCTGTCTTGAAATCGCTACTACTATTTTAAAAGTAGAATAGTTTCCGCGAATATTGAAGCACCACCCACCGCCCTCCCCTGTTTCGGCCTCTTTCTCTTTGGTCTATGTTAGGCGGCCAATTTACATGATAACAGGTTTCCTCATGGGCAATTGCTGAACATTTACATTTGTTTAGAGTCTGCAGGGGTTTGGAGGATGGGGGAGCTACTGGGAAAACCAGTTTTTCAAGAAGCACTTCTAAGCTAAGCAGACTTTGCTCACAAATATTTCCCTCAAAACAAAATGGATGTGTGGATTGATGGTTTGCATTTTGATTTGATACTAAGCATTGAGAATCGTATATTATCCCTGGGTTATTCCCGTTACATAATGTTAGTGAACACTGGCCTGTCAACACTGAACTGCCTCATCCACTCAATGTCATTCTGATTTTCCTGGAAGAATTCCTCCCACCAGCCAGGGCTCTGTGAAAAGGAAGAGAGAACACGGGGCATCGAAGGGAAGGGAGAAGTATCATGCTGGCGCCTTGGCTACTCCTGCTCCAAAGGAGAAGAGCAGTCAGGGATCGAAACATGCTTTCTTCCGTGAGTATGCAGAAAGCATCATCTGCAGAGACTTGAGCTTCTGGCACAAAGTGCTGAAGAATAATTACATATGCAGAATGAAAGGAAATTATTTGAATCAAAGGCATACTGCCTCAAGTTCTGGGGAAATCGGGAGTAAAGACTGAATGCAGAAAGAAGAAGAGAAGAAGAAGAGATTGGATTTATACCCCGCCCTTCACTCAGAGTCTCAGAGCGGCTTACAAACTCCTTTCCCTTCCCCTCCCCACAACCCTGTGGAGAGGTAGGTGGGGCTGAGAGAGCTCTTTCCAGAACTGTCCTTGAGAGAACAGCTCTGACAGAACTATGGCTTGCCCAAGATCATCCTGCAGCTGCAAGTGGAGGAGTGGGGAATCAAACCTGGTTCTCCCAGATTAGAGTCCACGCACTTAACCACTACACCAAACTGGCTCAGAGAAGGCCCAGTGAAGAGCATTGTGCTGTGGTGGTAGCTGTTGCCAAAGCAAAGTTTTTAAAAATCTGCACAGCCAATCAGAAACCTTGCTGGGCAAATGTCCCACAGCCCTGCCCACCTCCTAAAAAGATGTCAGTGGGTACCATGGCACCCTCAGCCACCATGCTGGGGACCCCTACACCAAGCCCTATGGTCTGATGCGACCAGCCATCTGCATGGAGCCAAATCCTACTGGTGCAGATACAGAGTACATAGTTCATCTCCCAAATTAAATATGGAATCTAGTGTGCAATCTGAGCCTATGTGTATAGTATTTGTTCCTGTTCAGATCTTAACCCACTGAATAGCACTGTAGGTGGTCTTGCCGCATTAGATAGGAAGGAAGGTAAGGTGTCCTTCACACTCTTCCCCCCTCGCTGCATTGTGTACAAGCACCGCTATCATTCATCCCCCCTAGCCGGCATCCTTAACAATCTAATATCATTATGCACGTCAACAGAATGCAAAGTGGAGGTCTGCCACAGATGTATGGCTTTCACACGATTGCTTTCAAGTTCATAATCAAGATAATAAGATTCAGTGATCCAAAAGTATCCTTCTGAGTCGATTTCCAAAAGCAGCCTTTAAAGATTTCCAAGCTCTGGAAAAACTGCCTGATTTTTAACTGTGAAATCTCATAGCGGCTAACTCTCTTGTTGCTTCTGCTGCCCCTATGGTGCCGCTTCATTCCTATTCACCCCGTTAGAAGCTACTCTGTCCACTTCTCATTTGCCTGTCTTGTCTTCTGTCTTTTCACTTCTTGGCTATATACAGCAACTGGCAAGCTAATAGTGCTTTAAGAAATGTTTAATAGAAGCTGTGGGAGGGGGGACCCCTGAGGGATCATGAGACGCTACCATGGAGTACAGGTCCTTTCTTACCTTGGTGCTGTTGAGATCGCACTGGTGTGTGTTTGCAAACCATCCCTGTCCACTGGCGCATTGGTTTATATCAATGTTCCGGATTTTAACATCCATTCTCACGACCCCCCTGAAATAGATAACACAAGGGGTTAAGCATAAATATTTGAGGGGGAGAAGGTGAGGGAGGGAGGAAACTTGTTGGGAAAGTAGTGCTAGGGATGCCAGCCTCCAGGTGGGACCTGGGGATCCCCTGGAATTATGCCTCATCTCCAGACTACAGAGATCAGTTCCCCTGGAGAAAACAGATGCTTTGGAGGGTGGACTGTGTGGTATTGTACCCCGCTGAGGACTCTGTCCCCCCCAGGGCCCATCCCCAAATCTCCAGGGGTTTCTCAACTTAGATCTACCCTGTTTTCCCGAAAATAAGACCTACCCCCAAAATAAGCCCTAGCAGGATTTCTATGCATTTGTGCTATAAGCCCTAGTGTGTCTTCTTGAGAAAAAATAAATATAAGACAGTGTCTTATTTTCGGGGAAACATGGTAGCAACCCTACCCCCCCATCCTCCAACCAATGCTCCCTCTAAGTTGTGGAGTTTTGTGAGCAAACATTCTACTTTGTGAGCTACTGGTGTTAAAGTTGCGAGCGAGTGATTTGGCTACTGCATAGATTAATTTGTTCTGGAGCCATCTTTCCTGAGCTAAGACAAAAGTATGTGAGCCAGAGGCTAAAAAACTGTGCTAGCTCACAGTAACTCAGCTTAGAGGGAACGCTACCCCCAACGTATATTTTGTGCATGTGCAGCTCCTCAATAGGGCAAATAACCCCCCTCCCCAGGCTGTTATTTTGGATTGGGAAGACAGCTTGGGAGGAGGCAGGAGCCTAGGGCTTCCACTCCTAGTTGAGAAACTCCTGGAGGTTTGGGGGGGTGAAGAAGAAGGAGAAGGAGAGGAGGAGGAGATTGGATTTATAGCCTGCCCTTCACTACTTGAAGGAGTCTCAGAGCAGTTTACAATCCCCTTCCCCTCCCCACAGCAGACACCCTGTGAGGTGAGTGGGGCTGAAAGAGCTCTCTTGAGAACTGCCCTTGAGAGAACAGCTCTGAAAGAACTTATGACTGTCCCAAGGTCACCCCAGCAGCAGCATGTGGAGGAGTGGGGAATCAAACCCGGTTCTCCCAGATTAGAGACCATGCTCCTAAACTAAGAATCTGGGGAGGGTGGAGTTTGAGGAGGGGAGGCACTTCAGCAGGGTACAATGCCATAGAGTCTACCTTCCAAAGCAGCCATTCTCTGATCTCTGTCGCCTAGAGATCAGTTGTAATTCTGGTAGATCTCCAACCACTACCTGGAGGTTGGCAGCCCTACAGGAGCACCTTCCACACTATGGGCCCTGCGGCTTTTGGGAAGTAAGTTCCCCCACAGCTGCTATCTGGCTGTGGGGAACATGAGCCGAATTGAAGAAACCCCAACCAAATTTGTGCACAAGTGTAGGTTGGACCTTAGAATGGATACGGATGTTACTCCGATCAGCTGGTAAGCCTAAAAACCCAAACAGCCGGCTCATCTGAGCAGTGTAACATCTGGCACTGGGACGTTTCAAACTCTGCTGAGGCGTGATTAGAAAAATTGCAGCGCAGATCTTTCCTCTCATAATGGAAGGAGCCGCCGCAATCTCATTCCTCCGGAGGTTAATTTAAACGTGCAAAACTAAGTGGAGTGCCTTAAACTTAGGAGCACTTATGGATTTACTGAGAATCTCATTTTAAAAAGAGAGAGCAACTTTTCACCCTTGCTTGGATTTCTAAACCTCACTGATTAAGAGAGATGGGTGAACAGCAGATTGCCTCAGGCCACCCAGTGAGTTAATGGCTGATGTGAAATGTGAATCAGGGAGCTGTTTCACAGTGTTTTTTTTCTGTCAGCCACTGTGCATTACACTCACTCACTCTTTACCTCTTTTTTGAGCACCGTACCAGTCTTTCCCAACTGTTTCCCAACGTCTAAAAGCATCGGTCTACAGGAAGTCCTCTCAGAAATATGGGGCCTGCAGCATGCTGCTTGCTTTGGGTTGGGCCATCACTGGTACTTTTTAATGCTTAAAACAGGTTTGAGGGATAGGCTCCCAGTGAATGACCCCCTAGGGTTGCCAAATCGAAATGGTCCGGGAGCGGGGGGCTCCCGGACGGCGTCTTCTCCGTGCGTGCGCGCGTCACCCGGAAGTGACGTCACACGCTGGGGGCGGGGCCACGCCATTTGAGGGGGAAACTCTTTGTTTTCCCTTCAAATGGCGTGGCCCCGCCCCCAGCGTGCGACGTCACTTCCGGGTGACGCGCGGGGGTGGGGTTTCCCCCAGGCCCTGATTCCGCAGGAGCGGGAATCGGGGCTTGAAAGCGGGGGGAATTCCGCCCCCCCGGGGGGGGGTTGGCAATCCGAATATCAGATCAGTAGCTGTTAGAGTATTCGATTAGGACAGGGGTCCCCAACTTATTAAAGCCTGTGAGCACCTTTGGAATTCTGACAGAAGGGTGATGGGCGCAGCCACTGAATGGCCACTGTAGGAGGTGGAGCCAAGCACAAAATGGCTGCCTTACAAGGCGGGGCCACAGACACAGAGAGGAAGCCCAAGTGCAGGGGAGAAAAGGGGCAATTGTAACAATACACTGGGGAAGAGGGGTGAGAGAGAATTAAACAAATACTGCTGTGGCAGTTGCTACTGAAACCATGTTATTTTAACCTGCATAGCTGATAGATCTTCACTGGCCAATCAGAAGACTTGCTGGGTAAGAGCCCCACCCACTTTCGATAAATACTTATTGGCAGGGCTATTTTTGGGCAGGAACGCACAGGAACGGAGTTCCGGCTGGCTTCAGAGTTGGCCACGCCCACTACAGCCCAAACCTCTGTTAGTGGCTACAGAGGGAAGGCCTGGAGAGTGACCCCGCCTGGTGACTCTGAGGTGGGCGGGTCAGGGGGGCTCTGGAAGGATTGGGGAGGCATCTAAATGCCTCCCTGTGCCTGCCCAAGGGGGGGCTTGCCCGGGCTCCCCGCAGCCCTGGGGTGCCTGGGCAAGCCAAGAGAAGGGATGGGGTGTGGCCTAATATGTTAATGAGCTGCTCTGTCATGGGTGTGGCCTAATATGCTAACGGGTTTCTGCTGTTGGGTGTGGCCTATTATGCTAATGAGTTCCTGCTGGGCTTTTTCTACAAAAAAGCCTTGCTTATTGGGTGCCATTGGTGGGCGACAGGGAGGGGATGGCTGGATTAGGACCTGGGGAGGCCTGGGTTTAAATTCCTGCTCTCCATGGAACTCACTCGGTGTTGGGCCAGTTGCTCTCCCTCTCAGTATAATCTACACACAGGGTGGTTGTTGTGAGGAGATAATGGAGAATGGGAGAGAACCATGTATGCTGCCATGAGCTCCTTGAAGGAAAGGCGAGGTAAAAACATAATAAATAAATACTAAAGCACAGTGTTGTCCACATCAAATTCCCAATCTGGGTCCAAAAATTCAACACTGTAACAGTCGAGCAGCATTCTTCAAAATGAAGTTGTTCATGTTGAAGTCAGCGACTCAGCAATGCTCCCTCTAAGCTGTGGAATCTTGTGAACAAAAATCCTACTCTGTGAGCTACTGACATTAAAGTTGTGAGCGAGCGATTTGGCTACTGCAGAAATTAGCTTGCTCTGGAGCCATCCTTCCTGAGCGGACAAAAATGTGTGAGCTGGAGGCTAAAAAACTCTGAGCTAGTTCACACTAACTCAGCTTGGAGGGAACACTGCTCAGCACGCCTAGACATTGGGTGGCACTACATCACCCTGTAAGGGTATACAGGTGTTATCACCTTGAATGGGATGTCTCCAGGGGTGGATTAAGGCTCACTGGTGCCCTAAGCACTGACCAATCTTGGTGCCCCCCTCCTTTCCTCCTCATTTGCGCACCACTCAACTGAATACGCTTCATTTTTGACGTTTACATGGGGCTGAAATTAAAAAGGGGCAGAGAGGGTCATTGAGACGACTGTCATGACAACTGAATTTGGCTCCATCGTTTTACTTTTAAACACATGCATTTTATTTATTTATTTATTATTTTTATTTTATTTATTATTAAATTTATACCCCGCCTTCCCCACAAAGGGCTCAGGGCTACTTTTAAACATAGCCTATGACGCTGCAGCTCTCCAACAAAAAATAGAAGATAACCCTCGGGTGCACCATGATCAATTTGCACTAGTTTGGTCAAATATATATATTTTTTAGAAATCTTCATTCGTGTTTTCCTTTTCTTTTCGCCCTTTTCCCAACTTTGTGGTGCCACCTTTGGCCCTGGAGCCCTAAGCACGTGCTTAGTCTGCTTAATGGTTAATCCGCACCTGGGATTCTCAGAGCGGCTCACAAACTCCTTTCCCTTGGCCCCCTAGTGGTTTTTATGGGCCCCTCCCTGAGCCATGGACATCCGGCTGCCCCTTGTGCCGTGCCGTGGGAAGAGGAACTGGGCCTCCTTGGGGGGGAGCCAGATGCTCTGCAGGGAAGGCCTGCCCTTGCTGAGGGGGGGATGGAGGGAAGCTCCAGCCGCTGGGCATTACCTCCCTTGCCCTGGAGCCTGGGGGGTACAGGGCTGCCTTAGGAGTTCTAAGGAGCCCCACCAATTAAATCAAAGTTAATTTAATTAACTTTGTTTTAATTGGCTACTGGGCCCCCCCAAGGCCCCCTCCCACAAAAATCTCTAGCTACGGGGCTGCCCTCCATGGAGAACATATGTCTCTGCAGGTTTCTCTTTAGATGAGGCTTCTCTCTCTCCTTTCGACTGCAACCTGAATGTGAACTGGATCTACTTGAATAAATGTAAGTTTACTTTTTTTGCAATATCCTTCTTGGGAGATTTATTTACTGCACTCCCTATCACACCTCTGCGACTAGGCAAAACTCTGCTAGGGCCCCGCCACAGATCAGATGGCGAGCCAGCTGAACTGCACATGTCGGAGCATGCACAGTTCGCCTAGGAGCCGGGGACGTGTCGGCGCAGATCAGACTCCCGGTTTGCGGTGCACCATTGGGATGAACCACCTTGGTAGGTGGTTCCAACTTGAAGCGGTTTATCACATGGATAGGCCAGTTGGGGGACG